AGGCAGAGTCTGGCATTTCCTCCTATTAACCTCTCCACACCCTAGCAACTCGAAAGGATGCCTGCACCAGATGTGTGTTGGGGAATATTCTCTAACCTCTTTAGGGGGAGCATAGCTGCTGCTCTGTTATATTGCAGGAGCCTCTAAAAGGAATTTTGTGACTCAAACTCAGCCCATCTGCGCCTTCTTCGGTGGGCCTGAAGGCACCAACAATAGACTCTTAATCATAGAGAAGGATATAGAGGATGGTGAACGCTTTTTGCAGAAGTCAAAAGTTTAAAGGACTTGATCTAACTCCTGTTGAAGCCAATGGAAAGACGGCTACAAGAAATAGTCCAGTTATCCTATTTACTGTAAATGACTGAGAAGGATACTTGGGTAAAAATTCATATTGACACCACAAGGTCAAGTCTCAAACTCAAACTCACTCACTCAGGCTATGTCTAGACTACAGGTTTCTTTCAGAAGGAGCTTTTCCCGAAGTGATCTTCCAAAAAAACTTCTTCCGAAAGAGAGCGTCCACACTGCAAAAGTGCATCAAAAAAGTGATCTGCTTTTTTGACAGAAAGTGTCCACACTGAATGGACACTATCTTGCATGTAAGCTGTGATTACTATGGGCAGAATGGCCACCAGGACACCGGTGCTTTCTCCTCTTTCCTTTTCTTTCAAAAGAACTCCTCTTCCCCATCCACAGATGCCTTTTTCTGAAAGAGCTCTTTCAGAAAAAGCCTTCTTCCTTATAGAGAGAGGATTACCAATGCCGGAAAAACCCCTCTGTTCTTTTGATTTACTTTCGAAAGAATGCCATTGCAGTGTGGACATTACTCAGGTTGTTACTCATGGCTGTTTTTCTGACAAAACTCTGTAGTGTAGGCATACCCTCTCTCTCTCTCACACACACACTCACTCTTCTTCATTTTTCAACTGAGGTAACCAAACTTCAGATGACTTCAGTGGGGCACCCTTTGCCGGTATATGCTCCTCAACATAAGTAAGTTTAGAGGAATTCAGGCTGAGTATGAAAATAAAGAAGTCTTCTGCTCCCGGATTTCTTTTCTAGCTCTTGGTCTCACTCTCTCTCTGTGCGTGTTATATTGTGTAGTGTGTACACAGTGGACATCTCGCTTCCAGGCTCACACTTCCCTCACAGGCATAGAACAACATAAATGTTTGAATAAGTTCTGTAGAAGTTAACATTTGGTGATTTTTATCTGCTATTCTCCAGTCAATGAGAACATTTCAGCAATTTATGCAATGTGCAAATGATAGATTAATTGCACACATTTTATAAATTCCCCTAAAACTTTTGGGCAGTGTTTGCTCATGACAATGCTGTAATTTAGAGCACTGGCATGTGAGAGCGCCTTTCTGGCAAGCACGTTTCCATGATGCAAATGAAGAGGAGATGTTCACTGTACCTCTGTTTTAAAAATGTGGTTTAGTGTACTCAGCCCCTAGTCCTCCATGCATACAGACCAATAGTTAAGGATTTATTTATTTAGTTCTATAAAATATGCTTATCCTAAACTCTGAGTGTTCATCATACATGCTGAAAGTTACAAAATTAAGTTTCTGTAATAAAACTCTTCTTCACTCACTCAAGCAACCGTATCAATAATTACTCTCTTCTTACGTACTGAGGCCCAGCTCAACCAAACACCACACTTAAAAGCTTGGTAGAATAGTAGACATGACATGAGATATGTCCTGATAGTCAACAGAGTCAGACAAAGATAGAAATTATTTCTTGAAATCAGGATCACTCATGGGAAATGCCTTGTTACCAGTCCCTTCTCACTTAAAATGGTAGTTGTCAGCTGCTGAAATACTTTATGGCAATATGTTTGCA